TTTCGCGACCCGCCGCCCGCCAGACTGGCATGGCCGAAACAGCAATACGGATGACAGAGCGAACCGCGAACACAAGTTTGGTAATATCCAGAAATGGACGGAGTGCGTCTGGCGTGACTTCGCGTTGAAGCTGCGTGTGTTCAGGCAGAAAAAAGTGCCGCGGCAAGCTCAGGACCTACTTGCAGTCCGCGAATAAACATGGGCGAGAAGAGCATTTCGGAATCAGACGGCGCACAGTCAGGACGCGATCAACGAGATGCCAAACGCCGCGCTGCATGCTCAGCTTGCCATGGCAGAGCTACGGCATCATAGCGCCGACCTGGAACAAGAAACGCAGCACGCAGGAGGACTTGCTCACACCACCTCTCTCTCTCTCTCTCCCTTCCTCGTTATGTCATTGTTTTGGTATCTCTCTCATATTTTCCTCTCTTTCTCTCTATCTATATGTAAGTGCATATACACGTGTATCTCCATATGTATATCTAGACATATATGTGTGCATGCATCTGTGTGTCACCCGCGCTCTCGTGGCCGTGTTTCAAGTGCACTGACTGCTCCAGTTTCTGGCCGCGCGGCCACGCGGTCCTTCCCCCGCCGGGGCTGGCCCGCTGCCCGCTGCCCGCCGTTAGCCGGCGGGGGGATCGCACGCCTCTGCCTCGCGGCCGACTCCTGCTTGTCCCGCCTGGTGTGTGTGTGTGTGTGTGTGTGTGTGTGTATGTGTGTGTGTCGGATCAAGGCAGGGGTATCTTCCCCCCTGCAGCCCTGCAGATCTCAATCGTCGTGGTGGTAGCAACAGCATCAATGTATAGGCTTGAACCCCACGGACCCACTGTGTGGGTCAAGAGGCTTGCAGAGGAAAGCAAGCTCGGACTCGGGCGGGCGAAACTGAGACCGACGTGTGGATGCCTCGCAATCGCCTCACAGACACTCTCGGTCAGGATTCGGCGCAACGAGGGGGGCCACTCAGCTGGATTCGCAAGGCGGAAGCCTCCAGGAGCATCAAAGGCGCTTCAGATCCCAGGTTCAGCCCCTGGCAAGTTCAGAAACTGAAGGCGGTATGGTAAGCGAGCAAGCCGCCCTAAGATGCACAAGTCAATTTTGACAGGTCTTGAGAATCTCAATCAACAGCTGGACTCGCATAACTCCCACCACGATGGCGTGTACGTGTGTGTGTGTGTGTGTCAGTGTGTGTGTATGTGGGCGGAAAAATCTGAAACATCGAAGCGGAATGCAATACGTGCATACCTTGTTAGAGTGTCATTGTTATGGTAGTCCTCTTTTCTTGGTCGGATGAAGGTGGAGTGTTTCGTAATGAAGGTGTGATCAACTGGGGATCGCAGGTTGCAGGAAAGGGGCCCTTAAGGGTCCCTGAACAGGGCACCACGGGGCCCCAAAGGTGAATGAGAGGGTGTACATTTCTCCACCCACTCCGTTGATTTCCCCAGTCAAGCAGCGCCCGAAACAAGGGGGACAGAGAGAAGGGGGATTCTCTTCGATATCGATTCTGGCCCGATGCGGCCCGATGCTCGCACGGCGCTGCTGTGCATCCTGGAGCAGCCGATCCGATTCGATTCCGATTCCGTGCGGAGTCGGGTTGGCCGAAAGGAGGGTGGGTGCTAGACAATACAGCTACGTGAGCTGATTCGCCAACCCCCGCTTTGCTATCTCCCCCTTTCGTCCGGCCCGCGGCAACGCATGGCACTTGCTGACCCAGTTGGGTGCCTTGCTGCCAGGAGCAACGCCAGGGATGGATCGGGGGGGGGTCGGCCCACGAGGGATCGGTCCACGGGGGAAGAAACGTCGACCCCCAATCGCCGACTCCTCGTCGATCCGGGCCTGGGTGCCCCAACCAGCCCAGAAACGTGCGGTTCCGCAATCGGGGGCCCATTGTCGATCTATCGGCGATGGATTGCCTGTTCCAGGTCCGTGTCTCCGCCCCCGAGCCAGTTCGCCATGTCGACCTCCCTCACTGGCGGACCCTGTTGGGAGCTTTTGTGAAAGCGAGAAATCTTCGATGAGGACAACTGTACAGGTCCATTTCCCCTCCCGGGAAAGAGGAAAGCAGTCAAAAGGCGGGGAGGAGGGAGCAGGAGGGAGGTGGACCTGTACAAGTGTTCACCTCCTAGAATTGATTTCGGGCACCCAGGCCTCTGGTAGATGCATTCGAGTTCTCACGGGAGGCTTCGGAGTTTCTGGGACAAGTTTCAGAGTCCGTGGGAGACCTTGGAGCCCCTGGTAGAAGCTTCAGAGCCTTTTCGGGCGACTTCAACTGACTACCTCACAGACCCTGGCCAGCCCGACCCTGGGCCCAGCCAGGATCGGTGAGATGGTCAAATGGCGCCCCCCGATTGCTGGGGAGGCATCCTGGACGCGTGAGATCCATCGCCATGGAGTTCCGGGCTCCTGAGGGAAACGGGCTGGGGAGGTTTTTGTGGAGGGCGCGCCGCTGGATGACCCCAGCGGGGGGGGGGGGGGTTGGGACCCCCCCCCCCCTTCCCTGATCCGTCGTCGGGGAACCCCCCCCCCTCCACCCCTTTCCCGATCCGTCGTCGGGGACCCCCCCGCCGCCCCTCCTCCCCTTTCCCGGTCCGTCGTCGGGGAACCCACCCGCCCCCCCTCCCCCCGTTTCAAAAGGGGGGGAGGGGGTTCCGACCCCCCCCCTCCCCCCCTTTGGCCGCCAAGTTCGAACCCCTCCCCCCTTTCGCCACGGCGCCCCCGGTCTCCGGAACCCGACCCCGACCACCCCTACGACTAATCCTCAGCCTTACCCTAACCCCCAACCCTAAACCCAAACCCAAACCCTAGCACCAAACAGCACTCACTACTCATTACACACTACCCACTACCCACACCTCACTACTCGCTATTCATTACTCACTTCTCACTACACACTACTCACTACTCACGACTCACTACTCATTACCCACGACTCACTACCCACTACCCACTTCTCACTACTCCCTACTCCTTACTCACTACTCACTACTCACTACAAACTATTCACTACTCACTACCCACTACTCAATACTCACTACTCACTAAACGCAACTCACAACCCACTACTCAGTAATTACAAATCACCACTCACTACCCATTAACCACTACCCACTACTCACGACTCCCTACTCACTACTCACTACTAATTGCCCACAACTCACTAGTTACTATCCACTGCTTGCTACTCGCTACTCCCTACTCCCTACTCCTTACACAGTACTCACTACTCACTACTCGCTATTCCCAACGCCCTACTCGCTACTCGATACGCACTATCCACTACCCACTACCCACTACTCACTACGCTCCCACTACTCACTATTCACTACTTCCTACTCCCTTCTCACTACTCCCAACGCACTATTCACTTCTCACTACCCAGTACTCAATACTCACTACGCTCCCACTACTCACTACTCACTACTTCCTACTTCCTGCCCAGTACTCCCAACGCGCTGTTCACTACTCACTACCCAGTATTCAATACTAACTACTCACTAAACACTGCCCACTGGCCACGTCTCACTACTAACTACTACTGCGTACTCACACTTCACTACTCACTACGCACTGCCCACAACGTACTACTCACTATCCGCTACTCGCTACCCAATACGAAATATTCACTACCCACTACCCACTACTCGCTACTCACTATTCCCTTACTCCTTACTAATTAGTCACAAGGCGCAAGTCGCTACTCACTACTCACTACTCACTACTCACGACTCACTACTCACTATTCACTAATTTCCATTCGCAACTCCGTACTCACTACCGACTACTCAGTACCCACTTCTCGCTTCTCACCACTCACTACTCACTACTCACGACTCACTACTCACTACCGACTACTCACTACTCACTACTCGCTACTTCCTACTCCCTACGCGCTACGCATTACTCCCTATCCACTACTCACTACTGACTCCTGACTACTTCCTCCTCACTACTCAATATTCACAAGGCCTTACTCGCTACTCACTATTCACTACTCGCTACTCCCGACTTGCTACTGGGTTATGCGAGCACGCCCCCCCGTCCAGTGGCGCGCTTTCGTTTTTGTGCAGACTGCGGTCCCCGAGGGTCGTTCCGAGGCCCCGGGCCGTCAACGAGTAGTTCGGGACGAAGATTTGTTCTTGAGAAGGGTCCCTCATTCCAGAACCCATTTCCTCAGGACCCCTCTGATCCTCGTCTCATTGTCATTTTGGCCAGTTCAGTTGCATGGCACTCTGCCTCCCCCCATCGCCGTCTCCTCATTCGGTGCTGGGCCGGGAAAGGCGTGCAAGTAACTTTCGATTTGCGTGATCCCCAGCTTTTCCTTAAGGGCTCGCCAGGGAGCGCCCCCCCCCCCCCCCCCCTTCCAGCATGCCAGCAACCTAGCCATAATCTCAGTAAAGACAAGTTTTTTGTTCTGGAGCTGAGGACCCCAGTGGACCTTGCTGGGAGACTTCTTTGGAAGCGAGAAATCCACTGGAGTCCTCAGGCCCCCCGCGTTGGGCCAGAACCGATGGGGGTGGAGGATCGCGCCGCATCGCCGACACATTGCCGATGCAACGGCGACCAGGAGCCCGTTCTCCTCCTTCCCGTCGTCGCTAATCCATCGTCGACGCGAGTGCGATGCAGCGCGGTTCTGCGATTATTCCTAGATGCGACATGCATTTGTGTAAACATATTTGTTCTGAGGGTCACAAGGGGTTCCCTGGGTCGGTGTTGGCCCTCCTGGCGGATTTCCAGGCTTTGGAATCTAAGAGTACATTGCAATGTGGAGTGCCCTGGTCGAGGTTGGCGGCGAGCGCAAAGGGGGTGGCGCGAGGGGGGCTGCCTTCTAAGAAGGCGAAAGCGCTTCTTAAGAGGGCCGGGACCTTCTTGAAAGGGCCCAGCGGCTTCTGAGTGGGTGTGGTAGAGTCTGGGAGGGCCTCCGAGAAGCCAGGAAGCTCCCCGCGGCGCCGGCTTGTTAGAAACTCATCCGACTTCTTGGGAGGCCGCCTCCCTCGCGCTACCACCTCGTTCGCGCCGAAAGCGAGATGCGTGTGAGAGGAGTCCCTCACGAGTTCTGCCGCCACCCGAAAGAAGCTCGAGGGCCCCAGCGAGCTTTGTGCGCCACTCGGGCTCCGAACGGGGACACTCGAGGGCATGCGGAATTTGCCGAGCTCGTCGACCCTGGTCTCTTTTTTGGGCGCCGGCGGCACGTCTCCCGCCTAATCAGGGGCGCCGAGGGGGGGGGGGCAGCATTGGCTCTCAGGGGAGGGGGTGAGCACCGCATCGACCACCAATCGCCGACTCCACGCCGATCGGGGCTTGAGAGCCCCAACCTGCCCAGGAACGTTGAGCTCCCCCTTGGGGTGCCTATCGCCGATCAATCGGCGATATCTCCGTCGATTCCATGCCATTTTTGCTGCCCCCGGGCCAGTCCCGCCACCTTTCGGCTCCCCTCGCTCCAGAGCAGGAGCCCTTCTCGCCTTCTCCTCGCGCCCTCCTCCAGAAGCCTCGCCCCCGCCCCCCCGAGCAGTGTCCTCGGCGGGGAAGCTTGGCCGTTTCCGCGAGCCCTGGACGCCTTCTGATGGAGGGAGAGGTGGGGACTGTTGCGGCGCCTGTGGAAGAAACTCGAAGAACAACGGCATAATCATACGTCTTCGGAGGTCCGCACGGATTTCTTGGATAGGCGCTGGGCCCTCATCCGTAACGCGTGGGGCGCGCCAGGGGCGGTCCTGCAGGCGCCGCCGAAAGGGTCACCGCCGACCCAAGACACCCTTGCGGATCTCCGAGATTTATTGTGTATGCCCGTTGTCGTGCCTCTTGAAAGAAGCGGCGGGGCGCGTCCGAAGTGATCGTTGTCAATGCGGTGCTGCTGCTGGTGGAGTTGCTGATTAACGAAGACGCCTACGGCGATTCACCGCCGCCCCCTGCCTTCTGGAATCGCCCATGTGGCAGAGTGTTGCGGCAAGAGCTCTGCCAGGCTATCGGGCCATGTGTTCCCCCTAACCGTTGTGGAAACCCTTCGGGGAACACTTGGGGGAGGATGGCGGGGAAGATCAGGAGGAAGGGGAGGAGGAGGAGGAGGCGGAGGAGGAGGAGGAGGAGGAGGAGCAGGAGGAGGAGGAGGAGGAGGAGGAGGGGGCAGGTTGGGAGCCTCTGGGAGCACTCTCGGGGCCTCCTTGGAGCTTCCTGGGAGCAGTTTTGAAGTATCTTGGGGGCATGCTTGGGCTTCTTGGGGGCCTTTTTGGCAGTCTTAGGGCATTCCTGGTCCGTCTGACGCCGTCGGAAGCCGTCTTGGGGGTTTCTCTGGGCCGTCTTGGGACTCTCTGGGAGCGCTTGAGGGCCGTCTTGGAGGCCATCTTGGGCGTCTCAGAGGCCTCTTGGGCCGTCTTAGAGCCCCCTTTGGACCGTCTTGAGGACCTCTGGGGTTGTCCTGGGGCGGTCTTGGAGGCCGTAAGGGCCATCTTGAGACGATCTTGGGGTTGTCTAGGGCCGTCGGAACGCCGAAAATAAGGAAAGACAGAAAAACCTTCAAACACCGAAGGAAAATCGATGATTTTGGCCTCTTCGGGCCTTCCTGGAGGACCTCAGGGAGGCCTCTTGGGCTGTCTTGGAGGCCTCGGAGGGCCTCTTGGGCCGTCTTGGAGGCTTCTTGGGCCGACTCGGAGGCATCTTGGACCCTCCTGGGCCGTCGTGGAGGCCATCTTGGACCATATTGAGCGAACTTGGAGGCTATCTCGGGCCGTCTGAGCCGTCTTGGAGACCGTCTAGGGCCATCTTGGAGCGGGATTGACCCGAAGATTTTTTGTTGTGGACGTTGAGGTCGTTGCGGGGGCCTTGTGCGCACTTCCAGGTGGCCGGCAGGCTGGGCAGGAGCTGCAGGGGAAGATCTTTTGGAAAAGAACCCAAACCAAAAACGGTAGCGTCTATCACGCCGGGCGCCCCTATGACGAGCACAGGGGGCAGCGGATCTAAGACGCCTACGGCGAATCACCGCCTCCCCCCGCCTTTTTGGAAGCGCCTATGTGGCCTAACGTTGAGGCCAGACCTGCCAAGCTATCGGACCATGTGTTCCCCGAATCGGTTTGGAAAGCCTTCGAGGAACACGTGGGCATCTTGAAAGTCATCTAGGCCGCCTGGAGGCCATTTTGACCCTTTCGGGCCTTCTTGGAGGACGTCTTGGAGGGCTCTTGGGCCGTCTTGTTGGAAATCAATGATTTTGACCTTTTCGGCCCTTTCTGGAGGCCCTCGTGGAAGCCTCTTGGGCCGTCTTGGGCCATCTTAGGGCCATCATCTTCGGTCGTTTTGGTGGGCTCCTGGCCCGTCCGACGCCGTCGGAAGCCGTTTTGGGGGGCTTCTCTGGGCCGACTTGGGGCCCTCTTGGAATGCTCCAGGGCCGTTTTGGAGGCCATCTTGGGCGTCTTAAAAGCCTCCTGGGCCGTCTTGGGGGCCTCTTGGGCCGTTCTGGGGCCATTTCGGAGGCCTCTTGGGCGATCTTTGGGCGATCTTTGGGGGCTCTTGGGCCGTATTGGGCCTTCGGATGGCCGAACAGAAGCCAATGTCAGAATCCTGCAAAAACCTCAGGACAATTCATGATTTTGCCTTTTCTGGCCTTCCTGGAGGCCCTCTCGGAGGCCTCTTGAGCCGTCTTGGGCCAGCTTCGAGCCATCTTCGGCCATCTTGGTGGGCTCCTGGCCCGTCTGACGCCGTCGGAAGCCGTTTTGGGGGGCTTCTCTGGGCCGACTTGGGGCCCTCTTGGGGTGCTCCAGGGCAGTCTTAGAGGCCACCTTGGGCGTCTTGGAGGCCTCTTGGGTCGTCTTTGTGCCCTCTTGGGGCCGTCTTGGGGGCCGTTTGGGCAGTCCTGAGGCCATCTTGGAGGCCTCTTGGGCGCTGTGGGGGCGATCTTGGGGGCCTCTTGGGCCGTCTTGGGTCGTCGGAAAGCCGAACAGGAGCAAATACGAAAAACCTTTAAACACCAAAGTGAAATCAATGATTTTGGCCTCTTCGGGCCCTCCTGGAGGACCTCTCGGAGGCCTCCTGGGCCGTCTTGGAGGCCTCTTGGGCACCTCTTGGGCCGTCTTGGAGGTTTCCTGGGCGGACTTGGAGGCATCTCCTCCTCTCTTGGGCGGACTTGGAGGCCATCTTGGACCATCTTGGAGGCCATCTTGGGCCATCTTGGCCGTCTTGGAGGCCATCTTGGCCGTCTTGGAGGCCTCTTGGGGCCGTCTTGGGGGCCTCTTGGGCCGTCACGGGACCATCTTGGAAGCCTCGTAGGCGATCTTGGGGCGATCTTGGGGGCCTCTTGGGCCGTCTTGGGCCGTTGGAATGCCGAGAAGAGTCAAATGCCAACATCCTTCAACAACCTAAGGGCACATCTATGATTTTGGCCTCTTCGGGCCCTCCTGGAGGACTTCTTGGAGGCGTCTTGGGCCGTCTTGGAGGTCTCCTGGGGGCCTCGTAGACTGTCTTGGGCCATCTTGAGACTACCGTGGGACGTCTTGGGTGCATCTTGGGCCGTCTTGGAGGCGTCTTGAGGCCATCTTCGCCGTCTTGGAGGCGATCTTGGTCGTCTTGGATGCATTTTGGAGGCCATCTTGGGCCAGAACCAAAACCCAAACCGCAATAATCTAGCACGCCAGGCACCCCTGCGATGAATCGACAGGGGGCAGCGGATCTATTGGCCTTTGGCCCATCCCGCCAGCGTGCCTGGGTGGTGGGTCAGAGGCTTCATGGGTGTTGCTTGGGCTCTCGTGATTGGCCTCTCGGGGCCTGTGGGAGGCAGTTTTGATGCCTCTTGGGGGCCGTGTTGGGGCTTCTTGGGGCCTTTTTGTGGCCTCTTGGGGCTTCTTGGTTGCCTCTTTGGAGCCCTTTGAGGCCTCTTGCGGGCCTCTTGGGGCCTCCTGGGGGCCTCTTGGGGCTGAAGGCTGGACTTTTCGGTTCTTGGTCCCCCTCTGGGCCCCTCTTGGGCCGTTTCGGGACCCTCTTGGGCCGTCTTGGGCGCCTCTTTGGCTGTCTTGGGGCCATCTTGGGCCGTCTTGGGGCCCTCTTGGCGACTTCTTGGGCGGTCTTGGGGCGGTCTTGGGGGCCTCTTGGAGCGTTGGAGAGCCGAAAAGGCGAGAAGGCCAACATCTTTCGAAAAACAACGTAACATTGACGACTTTGGCCTCTCGGGGCCCTCTTGAGGCTCTCTTGGGGGGCCTCTTGGTGGCCTCGTCGAAGGTCTTGTACGCGTCGTGGGCCGTCTGGAAGCCATCGTGGGTGTCTCGGACCGATAGTTCGACGACTCGGAGCCCTCTTGGACCGTCTTGGGCGCCTCTTGGGGCCCTCTTGGATCGCTCTGGGGCGCCTGAAAGCCGTGCCCAGGAGGAAAACCATCTCTGACCGGGACCTGGCTGGGGTACATTGCGTCCGAGGACACCTAGAAACCTCCCCGCGCGAAGTAGAAATCTTGTGAAGCACTTACTGGAGATCTTAGCACGCCTCGGGCCCGTTGGGCCGGCGAATTCTTCTTCCTCCTCTTCCTCTTCTGTCTCCTCATTCACATCCCACCTGTACTTTTGCGTCTTTGGATGTAGAAGCGAGCAAGCCGACTCCCCAGGGATTGCATGGACTGGAGAGAGGGTCTCAGGACAGGGCCGCCCAGAACGCTGATAGCTGTTCTCTAGTACAGATTGGCTCCCCCCAGCGTGACACGTGAATTCTATCATATGGGGTCAATACAATTTGTCTTCAGGCCTTAATCATAGCCCGAATCGTGGCCATACACCCAGTCCTGGCTTTACCCTTACGGAACACTTGCAGATGGGCGGGTTCACATGCGGCGGATGAAGGGATGTCATCTGGGAGGGGAATGGGAAGGGAGGGAGGGGCTCTCTCGGGGCTTCCTTGGGTCACTTTCGGGGCTGGGTTGTGCCGCGTTGGAGGCGTTTTGGGCTCTCCGGGGGCCTCCTTGTCGTCTTGGGGCGTTTTGGGGCCATACTGGAACGCCGGGAATTGTAGACGGCCAGGCACCTCAAATCGTGCAGAGCCTTACGGGCTTTGACCTCTTGGGAGCTTCTTTGGGGCCAGTTGGAGCGCTTCTTGATTTGCACGTCCTCGGAGCGCCGTTGGGCCGTCTCCGAGGTTCTTTCCTTCATTGGGGCCTCTTGGGTTCTCTGGGTTCGTCTTGGGACACTCTTGCTTCGCCGGGGGCCCACACGGAGCGCCGACGACGAGTTCAGACCCCACCCTATGAAACATGATTTTGGATCCCAGGGGAGGGGGCAAGGGGGGTGGTGGGGACCGCTGACAGGGGAGGGGGGCAAGGGGGGATGGGGACCGCTAAATATCTCACGCGCCCCTCGGCAAGGGGGGGTCGGCAGATCCTGGGCCCCTCCTGGGCTCTTCAGGTGCTACCTTGGGGCATGCTCGGGGAGGGGTGGGGGAGATCGTCCTGACTTGCAAGACACGCTCGAGTTGTTTGCGTCTCTGTGCACGTGGGGCATTTTCGGGTTGGGCCCGATCGGATCCGATCGACCGTTTCGCCCGCGATGGTTCGAGAAGAGGCAAGATGGGACGGGGGAAGGATGGGTGATGAGGGGTGAGGGGGTCAGCGAGAAGAAGAAGGAGGGAAGGGTGGAGGAGGAGAAACATTATCCTAACATGCCAGAGGAGGGACTTAGGATATTGTGATCGATTCTTCGCTCAATCGAATCAACTCGCTCGAGCATTTCGCCCGTGTCGTCGTGTCCTCGTCATCTGACGGTGCCCGGCACGGCGACTGGACTCGGCTCCCAATCTGATGCTTCTCCTCCTCCCGTCCCCATCCCTTCTCCATCCCCTGCCTCTCCCATTCCCCCTCTCGCATACTCCCGCTCCCGCCCCCGGCGCCCTCTCCTCCCCTCCCTCTCCTCACCGATTATCGTCAAGTCGAGGGCGCAGCGGCTGGCACCGCGCCGCACCCGCAGATACGTGCGGGCGATCGCTTCACGGGCTGGCTGAAGCATCCGGCACGCCCCAGTTGCCACCTCATAGGGAAGTGAAGTCCGTGTACGTAGTGAAGAGTTGCTTTCACTCCTGCTGCTACCTTGGTCGTCGTCGTCCTCCTTCTCCTCCTTCTCTTCGTGCTATTCCTCCCAGCAGGGTAGGAACCGTTCAGAGAAGCGTTTCGCTGCAACGGCCTCTCAGTCCTGATCGGAACCGAGGATGTGGAGGAGGAGGAGGAGGAATCCGAAGAATATGAGGAAGTGGATACTGGGGAGTATGCGACGAGGGGGAGGAAGAGGAGGAGGAGGAGGAAGAGGAGGATGAGGACTGATGCTGCAATAGACCACTTCGTTCCTAGTGCCCTCAATTTAATCATCGTTTCAATACCGCGAACGTCAGCTGGAAAGGTGGGTGCATCATGAACCTGCATTGTAATACCAGTGGCAGTATATGATGTGAAATATGCGTATGGGCCAGAGAAGAAGGATACCTGTGGAAGCATGGCACGGCAACCAGCGAGCTGACGAGCTAGCGGGGGAAGCGGCAGCCACACACGAGATCTCGGGAGCGCAAATGAGCTGCTACGATTGGGCAAGGGCGACAGCGCACACAGTAATAACTCGGATAGGGCAAGCATACAGAGAGCAGTTCGAACGAGTGAAGCCGATGTCGTGGGAGGAATTGGAGGAAGCCAGAAGTAATGGAAGAAGGTAGAGATGAAGAAGAACTTCGAGGAGCTGAAGAAGGCCTGACCAAATATGCTGATCAGCAAACGTAGAACGATGAAGTGTACGGCCTGCAACGAGTCTGTCGGGACCAACTAAAGGTCGAAAGCGGCGAGATGGTGGTTGACGAGGTGCCATGCTGACGACGCAGGAGACAGAGCTGACAGACGGGAGCCCGCAAGCAGAAGCCTGGTGCTCAAAGGCAAACTATCGCACACATCACGCGCCATATGCTGGTCGAGACACCAAGCCAAATACTTCTGCTGGCAATGTGGAGCCACCGCAGAGAAGCATCTGAGCAGCACGATGGTAAAGGCGAGCGAAGGATGGCCAAGCGGGAAAGCATCACAGTACGCATTGGAAGCCCTGCGAAAGAAGAAGGACTGGACAGCCAAGCCCAAGGCATCCAAGGTCAAGAGGTACGGCAGGGATGCCTCGAGTCAGAACGCTGGGGGACCATCCGCCCCGCCGCTGAGAGAAGGCTCATTGGCTAACTTGGAGGCTAACGTCATGCGTTTTGTTGACAGTGGAGCCTCGAATCAGGACGCAGGGTGGCCGTCCGCCCCGCCGCTGAGAGAAGGCTCAGCGGCTAACTTGGAGGGTCGAGTCGTACGTTTTGCTGAGAGTAAGTAAAGCTTCGAGTCAGAACGCAGGGGGGCCATCCGCCCCGTCGCTGATGGCATCCTTCAGCAGCTAATTTGGATGGTGACGTCATACGTTTTGCTGGAACTGTGGCCGCCTCGAGAAAGAGGATCACGAAGAAGAGCGAGAGGCACCAGGTAAGGAACACGTACGAGGAGATAAACACAGAGTGCAAGCAGGACGCATACCAGGTCAAGTATACGAACGCGGAGCCAAACGACGAGAAGGAAGTGAAGAGCGCCGACAATGCCAAGTTCACGGACGTGGAGAAAAATATGGCGATTTGCGGGCAGGACGACAAGTTCATCGGGGCCACGGAGACGCCTGCTGACCGAAGCATTCCGCTGACCCCAGCCGCAGCCAAGCCAAGTTCAAGGATGAGGGGGAGAAGCTGACGGACTGCGAGCAGGACGTCAAGTGCAGCGGGGCCACGGAGGTGCAGACAGACAAGAAACACTCCGTGGATCCCGACGGCGCAGACGAGGCGGGCCTGAGCAGAACCCTTGAGTGCGGGGCCGCCGCCAGGCCGACCGCATAGACAGTCGGCAGACTGCAAATCAAATTCTGGAACAATCTGAAATCTGCGTCAACGGTAATACGTACTAATATACGACCGTGCACCCATGCACATCATAAGCGGGTTCGAGAGGGAATTGGCCTCCATCCCACGTAGCTGGTAGAAGCGTGAACGATGCGCGCGGGGCGTCCAAGCGCCGGCAGGAGTTTGAAAAGTGACCGCGCTCCATGCTTAGTTGTTCGCACTCACATCATTCGGAGCCCAAGATCCCAGGAAGCTGCAGGCGGGGACGCCATCTTGAACACGAGCTGTTTTGCTTCCTTCTATCGAATGGCCATCGGCCCATGTCGCCACCGAGCCTGAGTTATGGGTTTGAAGGCTCTTGGCTGTTCAATGGGATGTCGTCGGTGCCTCAGGGGCCTCCTGGAGGCAGTTTGGAGGCGCCTCGAGGACTTCTTCGGTCGTCTTGGGGCCTTGGGCGTCTTGGGCCGATCGTGCGGCGATTCGGAGCCCGTCTCTGGGGCACTCCGGGCCCGTCTTGGGGCCCTCTTCGGCTCGAAAAAGCAATGCGATAAGACGTGGCGCGCCCTAGGAGCCACGCGAGAAGCCCTGGAGATGTAATTAAGGATGTGGGGTCTGGGTCCCTAAACTGATGCTCAAGACTGAGGGCTGCGGCTTAAAATGGCAGGCCAAGGACCTGAGGACACTCCAAGTCGCGCCTCAAGGGCACGGTGGCGGATAGGTGTTGGGGCTTCAAGACTCGTGCGTGAGGGCCAGCTTTTGAGAAGAAACACGGCTTCCGCTCCCGAAGCTGATGGACACGTCAACCTCTGAGAGCACATATGGTACAGATGTCTTCGGGCGACGGCCAGCTACGCTGCGTTACTCCCGATCGGCCTGAAATCCGTGACACTCTAGAACTCGGGGGGAAATGTGGGTCCGTGCCTCCGGCACCCGGTCAGCTATTAGATCGTCTGAGATCGATTGCTGCAAAGGCAGGCAGGAATGGAAGCAGCGGAGGGGAGGGGGGGGAAGAGGGGGAGCGGAGGGGGGAGTATGGGAGGGAATTCTCAGATCTTGCTTTTGGGGACCTTCGCGGAGAACGCCTCGTGGAGCGGCGCTGGCTCAGTCGGTCCACCTCTTAAGAGATCGCCCGCGGTGGCGCGCCCAGAATGGTCGCAAAGAACTCCGCTGCGAGACAAGTCCGTCTTCGATTTGTTGTGCCAGCGAATCTGTCTGTCCTGTGCGCCGAACGGCCGCCTGACGCTCCACTCCTCGATGGGATGTTGTGACAATGCCGCTTCCAGTCGGCGTTTCATGCGACGGCCAGTAAGCTGCTATGCTTCGTCGTCAATGCCAATCCACCCAACGAGGCGCCGCAACATTTTCCTCTGCAGCGCGTCCATCCTGTCAAGGTCTTTCTGAGTAAGAGGGGGTAGGCGGCCTCGCCACGGAGTCAAACAGGCGCAACCGCAATTTGATTGAAACGTTGCGCCTATGACAAGTCGCTGCAAATAGGTGATATTTCAGCCGAGCGCCCTTGATCCGATGGTCCAGGTTGCACTTGCCTCGCGTTCTCAAGTCGCCGCGCAGTAGTCGGCGAAGGTATTTGTGCGTGCCCGCACGGTTGACAACCTCGACCATCCCACCATTCGAGAATTATCGGGAGTTCGACTGCTTCAATATTGAAATTTGTTGTCAAGCTTAAGTGTTTTGCGGATTGATTGACGAAACAGCCTTGCTCAACTCCCCCACGAGACAATCCATCATGAACGCTGCGCCCTTAAGAGGCCCATCTGAAAGAATCAGGTCGTCAGCATAGCTGATGTTGGTCTATCGCTCGCTCTCTGGGCTGAGAGGGATACCGTGATTGTCGAGCCGAGCCTGCCAGCGGCGCATTACCGCCTCCAGTGCAGCGTTGAAGAGCGTCGGACTGATATTACCACCCTGCCTGCCACCATTTTCTATGTTGAACTGGCAGCTATCCACAAAACCGCGCTTAGCTGTGTACAAGCATTGCAGCAACGTGCGGTATTCGGCGGGAGCGCTTTGCTCTGACATGGCGGCGAATAGAGCAGGGTGTTCGATCCAGTCGAAGCCTTTGGCCAAGTCGATGCTCACGATCCAGACCAGTGAGTCATATTCAATCGACTTTTGCACGACGTGCTCATGCATCAAGAGCGCATGATATGTTCCAGTTGCGGATCGGAGTCTCTCCTGATATTGCGGCTGGCAAAGCTCTAGGATGGCCCGGACTCGGTCCTGCAATATTTTGGCCAGGAGTTGTATGGGGTATCCAAGATAGCAAGCGGCCTCCAGTTGCTAGGGCCCAGAGCATTGCCCGCCTTGGGAATCATGCCGTGCAACAGCGACGGCCAGACTTCGATACCATGCCGCTCTCCATATGTGGAACGGTTGGAGGTTTCTGGGGCCCTAATCCCAGACGGCTTCTAGGCGCCACAGTGTGGCCTCGACAGGCCCGACGGGGCCAGGCAATTGCCCCAATATGCCCCCAGGAAAATACCTTCCCACGCTCACCGTAACAGGAGGGATTGTATTCCCGGTTCGCGTGCCAATTGCTTCGATAACAGGAGGGATTGCGTTCTCAGGTTCGCAATCGGGCAGCGACGCAGCAGCTGGGAATAATGATCTTATTCGCATGAAGTGCGCTTTGGATCAGCAGAGGGCAACGCCAACAGCCACCATCGCAGCTGAGATATATTCATCCTCGATGGCGGCACTGCGCGTGTTGAGCACCGAGGGTACGACTGTATCATTGGACATGCATTATGGAACGAGGGCGAAGGAAGCGGATGTGCGCCAGCCCCTTGCAGTGCGTACGCAATTTTCCACGAGAGGTATATTGCTCGCGCGCTGCGGGTGCCCGTGCTAGTCATTCCTGGCAGCGCTGCCCCCCGAGGTGGGGCGCCTATTATTTCATGAGCCAGCGCCACTGTGGACCTGATTCCAGCAGCTCAATGACGTTGCGGGCATTGTCCGTTGTCGGCCTGATTCCATCGAGCTTGCAACGCACGGCGCCTGCCCGTGCGCCGCTGGTTTCTTTTGACACTCGGACAGCGGCCTGCGCACATATGTTTCGGCGACCGCGCGGGCAGTATACCTTGTTTTTGTGTAACAGGATTGGCGCCGTGCTGCATGCATCGATACCCCATCTTAGCTTCCCCATGACAGAGCCAATTGCTTTGGAGGACGCCGTTTCCTCCGCTGCGTGCTGTACTCCGAGTGTTTAGCTGGCAGCGCGGACGCGCGCTCATCCACCATTTATTCCGCTTCCAGCTTGTAGGACGACCACCGTGGTGATCCACCACGGCCGAAATAAGTATGGCGGGACGAATGGATGGACGGATGCGGGGATGGGGAGGAGAAGGGAGGGAGAGACAACCAGCGAGCGAGATAGAAAGAGAGAGAGAGGCACACACGTGTGTACACACATAACTATACCGATATTCAGATATTTATGTGTAGAAGGATACTGGGTGTGATGAGTAGTGAGGCCGAGGAAGACGAGCAGGGATGTGGTGTTGGTGATGGTGCGTACCTTGATTGGGAACGAACTGTGGTGATGAGATCAGGTTCCGGAATGTTCGGGATCGTCATGATGACGATGCGAGTCCTATGGCGACGATGGTGGTCATGTTTGCTCAACTGGTGGGTAAGCGCACGTCATGGCCCGAAGCATGTTAGACATATGATTAGCGTCGTCGAAGTCCATTCCCCATGTGGCGAAATGGTACCACAACTTTTGGGGATGTAGGGTCAGTAGATGCCGACGATGATGCTCGTCATGCTTGGAATAATGTTCAACAAAAGGCATGTCGTTATCGAGTTGCGCTGCCCAGCTACTCCGCATCCGCGCTCGGACAGGCGTTTGTCGGAGGGGAGGGGAGGGGGAGCGGTGTGTGTGTGTGTGTGTGTGTGTTTGTGTTTGTGTGTGTGTGTGTGTGTGTGTGTCTGTGTTCGTGTGTATGGGTCGCTCGGGGCGTACGGAGCCTGTCCGCCAGGTTCTCCGATTTTAGTGAGCCTTGCTTGGAAACACAAGCGCAGGGAACTGGTCCAACGTATGGTCCCATGTCTGACTCGATGTGCAGGAGGGGGAGTCTTTTTCATTTCCCGCAGGAAGCGCACATACAGAAATAAGCACGGGCACGATCAACACCAATCGCTGTTACAGTCAGATCTCAGCGTGGTAAGTTGAGTTGGCCTCGTGGGATCCCAGTGGCCCTTTTGTTGTCTTCGCTGTATGGTTTCTTTCGGCCTACTATGCATTCTAACGGCTTCGCTTGGTTTCTGTGGACCTGTTTGAGGCCATTTTGCCGATTGGTCGCTGGGATCTGTGTCTTCATGGATTCTGGAAGCTTTATTTTGATGTACTGGCATTGCGCGCGTCCGTTTTTGTGGTGCCCGCTTTGATTCTTACAGCGTCGCCTACCCCCAAACTAGCCATACTTGTCGCACGTTGCCGCGGTAGCCGCTTGGAATCCTCTGGGGTCCTGTGGGTTCCTACGGCTTTCTCCGTGGACGGCTAACGGCGATGTAGGTAACGGCGATGTAGGTTTCGGTAGTGTGGGAACGCGTGGCTTGCGCTTCCCTACAATTCGTTGTGTCGTGTCCGCTCGATCCCTTCGCATATTGAAAATGTAGGAACTTGTGAGTACTGGCTTTGCTTATCGAATTCGTCGCGGTGTCCGACTGAAATCCCATGGGTTCCCGAGGATTCCTGCGCACTTGGATTGCACCGCGTAGGTCGCTCTCCAGCAATTCCACCGCATGGGTGCGCGAGATGGCGTTATTTTGTGTGGTGTAGCATGCTGAGGCCGGAATGCTCGAATATGGTCGTCATTTGTGCATTGCATACCGTATCGGGGGGCACAATCTTTTCGACGTGTCATGGGTCAAGACCACAGCTGCTTTTCCGAGGCTGGGGCTCATACATATCTGCCGCCAGTGAGTGAGACCGATCTTCCTGACATCGGGAGGCGGTGGATATGGATGTAGTAGCCCCCCTGGGGCGCAACCATATCCATTTCCTCCGCCCCCCTTGGGGTCCTGGTAGATCTTGTCCTCACAGGGTCGATACGCATAGATCCCCAACCCTCCTGCACGCGGGGCTTATGCGGTGCCAATCGTATTTCATCTTGCCTGCGCTTCTACGGATTCATGCATTGCCACGCCGTGCTGTCTTCAGAATGTGTGTGAGCCTGCCTCTCGGCATCACGTTCTCTAGTCTCTTGTACTTGGGACTGGCCCTGGCAGTGCATCTGCCGCTACAGACGCAAACACCCACAGTTGCGAATGAAGGACGCATTCACGGTGGAACGTTTGCTGCTGACGACAGAGAAGAGATGCAACATGGCACCCAGGGCTTTGACATGCATGGACGGTATCCGTTTCAGCATGCCGGAGTTGCATCGATAGAGCTGGTCATGAAGCAGAGAGATGCGCATGGATTGTCGTGGCATAAAGACTTATGGGGGGGGAAGAGAGAGAGAGAGAGAGAGAGAGAGAGAGAGAGAGAGAGAGAGAAAGAGATGGAGAGACAGAGAGAGAGGGGGAGAGAGAACGAGAGGAAGAGAGAGAGAGAGATGGAAAAAGAGAGAAAGAGACAGAGAAGGGGGGGTGTTGGCCTCCGTACCGCCAGGTTTTGACTCGGGGTGACAAGTTCAGCCTTATTATCGAGGCGCATCTGCTGGGATGTTGCGAATCTGTTAACGTACTTCTCAGAGAATTTATGACGACTAGCAGTTGGCATTGGCATGCTGATAGGTAGAGCCATTCGTGTCTTTCCCTGTCTGTCTGTGCATTTTCCTATTTGTTCTTGTTCATGATCTTCCATACTTGTTCATTGCATTCAGTGCAGCATTAATCACGTGCACTGACATTACTTGAGTTAACGTGTTGGAGGGTAGTCTCGTTGGAACATGTCCATGGATTGTGCCACCAACATGTTGTTCTCTGCATCTCGCACCGTACCTGCTCGCGTTTCTCTTGCATTGCATGGTGTGGGATTTGCCATCTGTCTTGTTTTATCTGGCTGTCTTGTCGTTAGCCTCTTCGATTGCAATTTCGACTCTCAAGGGTGCGACGTCGACACATCACATTATGCCCGTTCTCTCTTCCTCGTCCCCACGATCCCTTCTGACAGACCCCCTTCTTTGGCAGATTGGTCCTGGCGACAACGAGGGCACCTGGAGCATTCAGAAGCCAACAGCTACAGAGGAGGCGCTTGTGCCCCCCTGTGTCGAGGAGCGCTGAACGAGTCAATGCTGAGTAATATTGGACTAAGATTGGGTGATCCTTGTCGTAAGTGTGACCACGTGGTACACGGTAGTGCAACGATTTCTTCTGGTGATAGTCTTGATTTTGATGTTGTGGTGTTGTGGGTGCTTGTCGCAGTGTTGTTCTATCAGTGGTTAAGAGCATGCCTGCCTACCATGTCTGCTGTGGCCACTGTGCCTAACATAGGTGAGACAGCCCTTTGCACATGTGGGCTCCTCAACAGCTGTTGACGCCGCGGACCTGCGCACGCAGTCAGAGAGGACAACAACTCATCCGGACTCGCTTGCGTCGGTGCAGCTCGGTTCGAAGAGTCGATGGGCGATTCGTCTCCGCGAAAAGAACAGCGAGGGCGTGAGACATGGGTTTACTGGAGGCCAGCCGGAGCCACGCATTTCATTCGTTTTCGATCATGAGTATCATGTTAAAGTTATCTCTCTACCTTCGCGCAGAAGATCGCCCAAGACCGCAACAACTGCCGATACCACCAAATGCCGTCAATTACAGCCAAAGACCGCCGATCACTGCCGAGAGACCGCCGAGTCCTGCTGAAAGACCACCGATTGCCGCCGAAGGCGGATTGGCAGCAAGTGCGTAACATCCTCCCCGCTGCCGCCTCTTCCTAGAGTCTCCAAGCGCTGAGACCCCACCCTCAGGTCGTGCTCGCCGAGCTCTCGCCCTCCTCAACGCAACGCAAAGCCGCGCACCAAATCTCTGAAGCCGATCAACCGAGAGCAGGATGAACGCCACAGACCGAGATAGAAATGGAGAAAGAGACACGGGAAGAGGACAAAGGAAAGCATACAGGTCACTCCCCCTCTTGTCCCGATCCCGCTCCACGCTCACGAGCGGCTGGTTGAAGGCGTCCGAGAGGACGGCGA